CACTTGTCTCAGAGGAATCCCACATAGCTGGATACGTGGCGTGAAATCAAGTGGTTTGTTTTTACCTCTAAAGTCAATAAATTCACTCTTTTTTGAATTGTAACTGAGTCCAGTCTCCTCGGCATATGCTTCACAAATTTTCAACAGCTTTCGAAGCCCGCTGGTTATATATATTATAACCAGTGCGTGTTGTCAGTGATGACCTATGGAACTGAGATGTGGTCCTTTACTGCTGGCCGGATGAGGAAGCTCAAGGTTGCTCAGCGAGCTATGGAGAGGGTTATGCTATGAGTTTATCTGCGTGATAAACATAGAAATGAGGATATCCGCAGTAGAACCAGAGTGACCGACATACTTCAACAGATTAGTAACCTAAAGTGGCAATGGGTCGCACATATAGCTCGAAGAACCGATAACCGATGGTGAAAAAGTTTCTCGAGTGGCGGCCTCGTACCGACGGACTAAATATAGAGCGTCCCCCCAATAGATGGAGTGACGACCTGGTAAGACATGCAGGAAATCGATGGATGCAGGTGATTCAGGACCGTGCTTTGTGGCATTCCTTGGGAGGGGGGGGGCTATGTACAGCGGTGGACTTGTGAAGGGCTGTGATGATGATTCCTTACTTTAAATTGGATATGAAATTATTCTAAAACTAATCATAAACAAAAAAAAATGTTAATTCTAAAAATGGCCATTTAGAAATACTTAAAATTAGTTCTTTCCGTCAGGCGCTTTCTCTTTTATCTCTCGAATACCCCAGGTTAACAATGCCGACTCTAATTGTATTAAACAACGGTATCGAATCGTGACTCGGTTACGTATATCGGAACGTGCCAGGTTATACGTAATAGCCGGCTGTTCGGAATACGGGTCAGGAAATTGGAGTACCAGGGTGAATAATCTGAAATTATGCTTTTTTAAACTTATTGTAAGCAAATTCTTGACTTGACAATCCCACTAGGTGGTGAGTGGTATGCCGTGTTATGGTGTTGTAAGAATATCCACTAGGTACCGCATACTGTCCCGTGAGTGTCGTAAGAGGCTACATAGAGAAATTGAAACAGGGAAGCAGCATCTTCTTAATAACAATTTAAAATAATAATAAACTGCGGTTGCAAATCCGCCTGCCAAGCGTAGCAACTATGGCATATAGGCTGGTGCTGCAAAACGCCACCTGGAAGCGTTGAACTCAGTGGAGAGAGGTGCTAAGAGGCTCATTGGTGACCTCGATTTGGTTGAAACCATTGAAGGCTGACAGCCTCGAGCACAGGCGCAGAGTAGCCAGTCTCTCGGTGTTCCATAACATATAATATATAATAAAATAATATATATATATATATATATATATATATATATATATATATATATTACGTTATTACACTTGTGTGTAAGTATATTAACGTTACAAATTGCTTTTAATAAGGGTGACAAACGAGCACACAGTCGAACGAAGATAGATGTAGACATCTACATCTGTCTTCGTTTGCGAATTAAAATGCAGATGCGTTGTCAGCCGTGAGGACTAAGATAGAATGCCTCTTTTTCCAGTAAAATGGCTCTCCGGTTCTCTACACTCACCATACGAAACACAGCAGCATCAAGCTGCTATTTTACGCTGGTATTCTGTGAGAGCGTGGTCCTTCCCCGGTCGAGCCGACCCATTCGTGCTACAACTATACTATTAATATAGCTGCAGTATGGCTCTACTATGTAAATATTAATTATAATTGCAAATTGCATTTATATGCAATTTGTAACTTTTTTTATAGAACAAAGGATACAAACGAGCACATAGTCCACCTGATGGTAAGTGGATGCTGTGGCCTATAGACATCTACATTTACCCTTAATTTAGAATCAAAATGCAGATGCGTTGTCACCCCTGAGGATTAATATGGAATGCCTCGTTTCCAGTAAAAGGGTCTCCGGTTCTCTACACTCACCATACGAAACACAGAAACATTAATCTGCTACTTTACGCTGGTATTGTGTGAGAGCGTGGTCCTTCCCCGGTGGAGCCGACCCATTCGTGCTACAACTATACTATTAATATAGCTGCAGCATGGATCTACCACGTATAATACGTTGATACATTTGTGCACTGTTACTTATTTTTGTGACATTAAAGATTATAGATGCATAGAAATATATTTCATAGAAAAACTACATCATTTTGTACACAGTTTATGTTAATTTAATATGGTATTTATAGGTTAAAAAGAAGCGTTACAGAGCGCTTACAGCATTTGACCTGAGCTTAGTATTTAGAGGAATCAGTCACGCGTGTTAACAGACATAACATTCCCATACGGTATTGTCAAACATGTTGGAAGTTGGACGATCTGTGCTAAGTTTAGTTTAAGCAGCTATGAAATATTATTTAATTTTTTTCAAAAACAGCGCCATTGTTTACCTGCACGAGAACACATCTAAAATAGTCGTAAAGCATTGCAATTCCTAATAATTACGTGAGGTATTAAAACAATATGGATACACAAATTCGTATCATTCACTGAAACGAAAAGTTTTAGACACAACGCAAAGTTGACGCCACGCCTAAAATAAATTAAAAACGACCATAAACAAAAATAAATAATATGCTGAAGGAAACAAAAATAAAATGCGATTGAAAAAAAACTTTATGCGATATTTGAAATCGATGCGTATCTATAATCATTTTACTTTCAATAAAAAGTACACACCGACTTTAAAAGGTAACAACTACAAAAAGCAGCATCCCCTATTTCTTATTATTTTTCCTTATCTTTATATGGGACCAGTCCTGAAATATAATCTAATTAATATAAAAAAATCATTTAAATCGGTACAGTCGTTTCCAAAAATTCTGTGAACAACCTCGTTTTTTTAACGTGGTTAATTATGATTGTAGCACAAAAGGGTCGGCTCGACCGGGGAAGTACCACGCTCTCACAGAATACCAGCATAAAATAGCAGCTTAATGTTGTTGTGTTCCGTATGGTGAGTTTAGAGAACAGGGGACCCATTTTACCCGAATCGGGGCATTCCATCTTAAACCTCAGACCGACTTCCGCTACTTCAAAGGAGTAGATAGTCAGTCTAGTCTACATACCTACATTAGTCTAAAATGGCATGGTTTATTTTTAAATTCCACGACTTTAGATGACATTGTTATAATAAATTGCTTTTTGTTTTAGTTAACAATATTGTACATTCAAAGACGAACAATAGACACTTGTTATAAGACAAGACCTTCCAAACAGTAAATGGTTATATTTAAATTCAGGTGTTTGTGCAATTCGTCAACAATTCAATATTTATATTTAACGTTACGAAATGTCTATTATCCTTAATTTGTACATATTAATAATAAAGTTTTTTCAAATTTTCTTCAAATTCAAAATCCTGTAGGATCAAGTACTGTTTTATTAATGATATCTTATAGGTACTTACGCGTGAATAAAACTGGGACATTCCTACAGTGACCATGGGTCCTGCAAAGCACACGAAACGTCGAAAATTAAAAGTAACATTAAAAATAGTTTTATAGTTATACTTTATAGTATTAAAAGTAAAAAATAATTTTATTCAATACTGGTTTAGAGATCTAGAGATCTAAGAAAACTTGTTTTTGTAATTATCATTCCATTTTTTTAGTTTTTCATTCCCCTGTTTTAATTTGTTTGTTGATTGTTGTTTTAGCTTTGAACTAAAAACCCTAATATCCTAGTAGATTGATTCTAAGAAATCGTTTTGTTTCTAGATCTTGTTTGAGATGACTAAGATAACATAAGAAACCTGAAAATTTACATCTGCATATGACAATGACAATTTAATGTGGTAGAGTCATAATGCAGCTATATAGCTGTAGTACGAATGAGTCGGTTGAACCGGGAAGGCTCAACTATCACAGAATATTTAATATATCATTTTAACAGTGGTAGAGCCACGCGGCAGCTTTTGCTGTAGCACGGATGGGCCGACTCGAACCGGGGTGGTACCACGACTTCACAGAAAACCAGCGTGAAGTAGAGGTTTACCTCTGCGTTTCGCTTGGTGAGTGCAGGTGGCCTGAGGCCCTTTTTACTGGAAATGAGGCATTCCATCTTAGTCCTCACGGGTGACAACGCATCTACATTTTGATTTGTAATAGAGGATAGATGTAGATGTCTATGGGTCGTAGCTACCACTTACCATCAGGTGGACTGTGTGCTCGTTTGTCCCCCTTATCGTATAAAAAAAAAGAATACCAGCGCAAAATAGCAGCTTAACGCTGCTGTGTTTCATGTGGTGTTTCTAGAGAATCGGTGACCCTTTTTTACTGGAAATGAGGCATTCCATCTTAATAAGATAATGCAGTGCATAAAATGCGGATGATTTTAATTTTTAATCAAAGATAGATGTAGATGTCTATCGACCACAGCTTCCATTTACTATATCCTTATATCCTGATGGTAATGGTGGCTCGTATTTCAACCTTATCCTATAAAAATTAGCTATCTCAGTGTTCACTATATCTAATGTAGCTTCACTTTAATAATTAAGAAGGTATTTAAAAGTAAAGTAATAATTATTAGTGTAAACTAAATAAAGAAATAGAAATGAGAAGCATGATGATCATGTCTAAAAACTTATATTTTTCTTACTAAATCCTAGCCTCTCGCTGCCTATATAATAAACGAGACTTAATAAACGAGGAAACTACTTAAACAAACCATAGATTTCTGAACGTTACTTCCGTCCGAAATAGCTTAAATTAAAAATTTTAAAAACACCCTCGAAACAAAAACATAGCTAAGAACACTCTCGATTAAGACATCTTTCAAACGAGAAAAATTAAATCAAAATCGGTTCATCCGTTCAGGAGCTATGATGCTACAGACAGACACACAGACACACAGATACACACCACAAACTTACAAACTTTTAACACACTTTAAAAAGATCCGAGTTAGTCTAAAGTCGCGCCTAAAGAAGTTTTACTTTTAAAATTCATGTTTATTTTTTTTTCTTTTCAGAATGACAAACCTACTGCAAAGATCCTGCCGACAAAATTTACGTGTCAGGGCCGCGCTTCCGGCTACTACGCCGATATGGACACCGGTTGCCAGGTGAGGACTGTGATTCGCGATTTATTGTGATTTGCAGCAGGGTTTAAATAAAAAGTGAAAATTTAAAAAATTATATTTAAAAAAAAATGAACACCTTATTTTTTATGTTCTTACATTGTCAGTCTATTCTGAGCTATGTTCAAAATTTCAAATCTCTAGCTCATCAGGATTAGAATTAATAACTAATGATAGTTACGAAAACGAGTTAATAAAAACGTGGTAAGATAGACATGTTTGTTGCACAAGTCGGGAAGTAAGCTTTAGTTACAATTTTATTCACCATTAGGTCATACCGTTAAGCGATTTCTGTAAGGTACATAGCATAATGAAACAGAAACAAATACAGTCAATTTATTGTCTAGGTTACTTTCACCGAACACTGATAATAACTGATTGACAACGAAGTTTATGGTCTACCTAGATCATAAACTTTCTCCTTTTTGAAGTCGACTTTAACTTTTCGGGTCGCGAGCCCTGTATCAGATGAAGCTGTAAAAGCCAAATAGGCTATCAGCACTAACATCAAAGAATAAGATAAAGATACTCCATACCCGGTGATCTGGCACGGACCCGCCGAGCGTCTGGTTGCCCGATAGTGGAAGGGCAGGTAGGATTTAATTAATGATATTCCTACGCACATTCGAGGGTCAGCACAACGATACTGGTAATGCATATAATACGTTGCTCCGTTGCTTTTCAACCGACTTCAAAAAGGAGGAGGTACTCAAATCGACTGTATGCTATTTGTTACCTCATAACTTTTTCCTTGGTGAACCGATTTCGATGGTTCTTTTTTATTTGAAAGCTCGTGCTTCTCGTGTAGTTCCATATAAATTTGATTAAGGTCTGACCAGTAGTTTTTGATTTATCCTTAATAATTTATATTGAAGTCGGTTGTACATAATTTTCTACTGACTTCCAACAGGTGGAGGTACTCAATTCGACTGTATGCTTTTTTATGTGTGTTACCTCATAACTTTTTTCTCGGTAAACCGATTACGAAGAATCTTTTTTTATTTGAAAGCTGGTGCTTCTCATGTAGTCTATATAGATTAAGGTCTGACCAGTAGTTTTCTGCCGACTTCAAAAAGGATACGGTACTCAATTCGACTGCATGTTTTTTTTATATGTGTTACCTCATAACTTTTTACTGGGTGAACCGATTTTGATAATTCTTTTTTTATTTGAAAGCTGGTACTTCACATGTGGTCTCATATGAATTTGATTAAGTTCAGAGCAATAGTTTTTGAGTTATTATTAATAATTTATATTGAAGTCGGCTGTACATAATTTTAAATTATTGAGTTATCTTTAATATAATTAATAGAATCAGGCGTTACTTTACGGAAATCCATTATATAAAAGCTTTTAGAAAAAAAAATTCCGCTTCTTAGCGGTTAGCCACCTATATCACCTGAGGATGCCTCGTGTAGAGGCGAAACACGTGTCGTATTATCGTCAGTGGTGTGTCTTGCCTAGTGTAGTGGTGTTGGGAGTAGCGGTGCTGGAATTAGTGGTGACGGGGATAGTGCACGCAATTGAGGGAGGGCGGGAGGTGCTCTTCATACTAGGTAAGACACATCATTTTATTTTATAACGCGGATATTTGCGAAGTAAAATTTTTCTAAAAGCTTTTATCTTTAATAGTTTATATTGAAGTCGGTTGTACATAATTTTTAATTTAACCACTAGTTGTTCCTACACTCCATTATTACAATTATGTTTGATTTATCTCACTGCCATCTACTCCAAACGGCGTGCCAGGCGTGGTAACTAAGGCAGGATTTCCCCCAATGAGAGACAATCTATGGGGGAGGTCTATATTCAGTAATGGCCTTTTGATAGGCTGTAATGGAATGAATTTAATGATTCATTATTCACCGTCATCATGATTTTTAACAATACAGTCCTTTGCAAACCTTAACTTGGTCGAGTATATTGATGTGCCACTTCGCTCTGTGTATAGAGTCCAGACCCAAGCAGTATTGCTTGTTTTTATAATTCCTTTGGACCATAATATAATGCCCAATACCATATAGTGGCGGTGTAAGAATTTCTATCACCCCATATACCAAACAAACTAGGATATGGACGGCAGCATTCTCCTAATAATAAACACTAAAACAAAAAATGCAATCGATGGAGGAGGCATATCAGTGGATTTTAATAGGCTGTGATGAATTAATTTGTTGGATTTATGAGCCTCTTAGTTTAAGCAATTTTATTTAAAATGTTTGTTTCTCAATCTTGGCATGCCGTGATAACACGTATAAGGATTATGTCTTGTATTACACTAATATTATTGTAAGTTATAGCTTTAAGTCATGATGTAATCTGTTGTGTTGTCCAATAATAAATAAATAAAAATAAATAAAATAAATAAAATACATGTATAGAAGATAATCTACCAGGAGCGCATGACCCGCTGAGAGGTGAAATTTTTAAATCAACAGTAACATTACAACTTTTGCAAATATCCCCTCTATGAGGCAATTTAAGGGGAGGCTTATGTTCAGCAGTGGACTTTAATAGGCTGTAATCGATAGATGTATAGCTGATAATCTACCAGGAGTACATAACCCGCTGAGAGGTGAAATTTTTAAATCAACAGTAACATTACAACTTTTGCAAATATCCCCTCTATAAGGCAATCTAAAGGTAGGCCTATGTTCAGCAGTGGACTTTAATAGGCTGTAACGGATGGGTAAGGTATAAAGCGCTGCTGCGGACTACTTACAGCCTGATAAAGAAGATTACAAGTTATAAAATTATAAAATGAGAATGTATTAATTTACACGAGATGTATAACACATGAACAAATCGCCGCAGACGCGCACACGTAATTCGTTGAATCTCTCGAGTCATACGACTTTGGTACCGCGAAAGGAGGTTAACTGTTGTGTACTTTGATGCTTTTTGCTTTGTTCTTAGTTCGCGTGACTTAATTTTATAGTTACAAGCGATTAGCAAAGTTATGTAACATTACAAACTGGTACTGTTTCAACTTCAATTGTAATTTGTAACACTAAAACATCTACAAGTTAAATTTATAAAAGTGAAGTTACACGTAGTTAACCGTTTATTTTTTTGCATTCTGTTCAGTAGTGAAAATGTAAAAATAAACGTAAAGTCTACTACTACTAGTCTAGCTGCTTTACGTTTATTTTTTTACCTTTATTATTTGGAAAGAAAAGAGTTATGCATTTGTCTAACTCTTACAGGACAGAACTGAAAAATAAAATTTAGAAAAAAATTTATTGAAAGGCAGAATAATCATAATGCCCTTTGCCTTTATACGAAGAATCTGAGAAGACCCGCGTAGTGCGCATTAAAAAAAAGCATATCAAAATGGCAGGCTCGCGTTATTTTAAAAATTTATTGCATGTAAGATTTATTGCATACGATAAACCATTTTCGTAACAGCTGGTAAAATTATGTGAGGTCACCTTAAATCGCGGTATTTGTGGGTATTCAAAGGGCGGAGATTGATAAATGTCGAAATTCATCATACAATGAGTCAGTTTATACAGTATATATGGTGGATAAACAATGTCTTATCGCACCTTTATTCATAAACTGCACTAACACAAAATTTCAGTTTTGTGGGAAATCGCATTTAAAGTTTGACATGTTGAGATCGATGACTTCAAAAAATTATAAAAAAAATAATAGATGGCTTTGGTCAGTTACAAAATTAGATATGTGTAGCTTAATGACCAAAGTATTATAATGAGGTGGAAAATTATTATATTCTGATGAAGAATACCCTCTATAGTAGTATTTAAAAAAAAGTTCCTACTTATTTCACTTTTTAATAAAATATGTAATCGAATGATTTCGATGCAAACGGAGTAACTGAAAATATTGCAGTTTAATATTAAAAATATCTTGTTAGTATGTGAAATATTTAGATTATTTGCAGTATTGAGATATTATAGGCATGAATTGTCGACGAAATATTTCTAATTTTTACTTTCTTAATTTTAATTCATATTATAAATTTCACATGTAGGTATTATTTTTAATAGAATAAAGAAATATTTTTATATTTACACGTTTTAATTATTTAAAAAGATGACATTATTTTAGTTACATTACTTAACGATGTCTTAGTAAAAAGTCCTAATACTTCGGTGTAGGTACCTACTTAAATACTTATGTGTATAACTATTTCAAAGTATTATTGATAATACAATTATTAAGTAAAAACTTCAAATTAAACTTCAGAGATATTCATATTATTAAAAACAAAACAAAACTAAAATTTTTGCAAATCTTTACAAATTAAAAAATAATATTCATAATTAAACATTAATTGCTTTGGTTTTCATAATACACTAAAAAATCAAAAATAATGAAGTCTGATTTAATACTGAATGTAAAAATAATATTATGCTTAAAGTATAGTATTATAAAACCCTGCATAAAAAGAAGGGATTAATGCTTTTGAAATCAACTCCCTTAAATCTTTCTTCTTGTTTTCACTTATTTCTTGTTTATTTAAATAGGCACCTTGAAGTGTTATTTCTGTCGTTAGTTTCATTTTCTTCCTTTTATTTCTTATATTAACCTCCTTGTAATCTTTATCCTTGTATGATGTCTTGTAGAAAAATAAGGTAGGGTTTTCTTTAATTATTTTTAAGACTTTTATTTCATTCCAATTAACATTCTGTCCATCTGTATTTATTGTATAATTGTATCCCCACTCTTCTTGTAACGTTTTCAAATCATAAAACGATTGATAATTCATCTCATGCACAATTAATGGAGGTTGAGACTTTTTGGCATTCCTTATCACAGCTATGTACTGGTCGAGTGTATATATTGGGCCCGATTTTAAGTTTTTCTTAATTTCTTTCTCAATGAGGCTATGCACACTATCTGCCTCATTTTGCGTGTGGCCCCTGATCAAAAATTTATGCGTAATGCTCTTAAAATTTAATTTTGCACAGCATCGAAATAAAGAGACGTTATATATTTATTTTTATTCTGTCCGCAGC